GATCTGACTTTTTTGAGTGGATGATGATACCTGTCATTTTTTGCGACATGCTGTCATGTGACTCATGTCCACAGACTATGCCTAGGAAGTTATGCTGACTGCCTTGATGTGATGGGGCGTGCTCCCTTAAAAGTGAGGCAAAGAAAGCAAACATTCAGAGCTATCAGCGAACTGGTGTACATAGGGCAGTATAAAGACAATGATCAGAAAATGGAGATCAACCTGCGTCAGTTGATTCAGAACGCAGAAATGTAACATGGCCTAATTAATCATAGATATCAGCAACCATAAGAATGCAGCAACTCACAGGGTTTTCCTCCGTTGTGGATCGAGATTTAAGTCACAGAAAAAGTGGATATTCATCTACACAATCACCTGATTCGATCCGCGCGTCCAAGCAGAAGCAAAGTCTATATAAAATTTGTGAATTTGCATTAAAAATAAGGAATGCGAATTGCTTGTCACACCTTCTGGCGCGGAACAAAATTCACTAGGTAGGGAGATGTTTGCATATATAGTGCCTATAGAATGACCATATCTACTCACAATATGGTTGTTCTTACTTTGAACCACACTGTGTCTTCATGATCATTTTCAAGTTTGTCCTTGCACAAATCCTTGTTTCATACAGCTGCTTGTCACTGTCTAGAATTCTGGTCTGCTTGTATCGTTTTGTACCGCCAATTAGCTGATTCCAGAAGAGTGCCCTTCAGTGTGACATCCGATAGTTATTCTGAGAGCACATCCACCTTTCACACATTGTCATTAGCTGATGCTTTCAGTTTTCCGTCAATGTCTTGAATCAAATTGATCAACCTTTGTTGGCATATGGGCTGCTATATCGATAACTAGATATTACCTGAATATCCACTGTATCAGAGTGATAATCATAGACCACTGAAGTGCACGGATATCCAGCCGACAACCCTTTAATTGGACGAAACATGCGTTCTGAATTCCACTGCTAGCCACCATCAAGTAAAATGTAGTCACGTACGTACTTCCGGGTTGAGGCAATATATGTTTCAGCTTGGTCAAGGTGATAATTTTTTGATGGAGATCATCTTGAAAAAATATTATCTTCGGTTACTTGAACATGTGTTAACAGTGTTATTCAAGTGGTTCACAAGCTCTTTACTGTACGCTTACAATGGGACTGGTTGGAAGAAGAGGATGGGTAGTCAGTTTGTGATGTATCAAAATAGAAACCAGTGGTGGTTATGGAACAGTTTTCTTGCTTCTTCCATTATCAATGATTAAAACTAGATTTAAGAGTGCTTCCATGTATGTATATTTAAGATTAATTCTTCGATATTCTATTTCTGTCTTTGTATTCACTCTATATTCCATTTTCTATTTCGCCACAATTTTCCTCATTGCTACATACTGCGCATCTTTTGGAGGCCATTTGATACCGTATTTATGTTCCTACAATAATACGTTAAATGCTTAGTTTATTTTTGCTTTTTAGTCAACATATACTTAATAGGTTTACTGCATTGTAGTTAATTGGGAAATTAGTTTCCCCAATCGGTTCCTCTAATCCTTTCGTCAGAGAAATAATTTTCTTATTTCCTCTAGTTTCCATTACTTCATTAACATACTCGATAAACGATTCCTTCAAACATTCGGGAAGTTTGTCAACGCTATGAAATCTTTATGTGACATTTCTTTGCAGCTCCATAATTTTTATTTGAAGGGATTTTAAGCGGAAGAAAAAGTTATCAAAAACAATTACTGACACTTTATTCTTGTGATGAAATGTCTATCGAGAACTTTAAATTACTAAAATTGAAAGAGCATTCCATTGCACTAAAGTTATTCAATAAGTACCTGGTGCATAATGTATGACTCCCCGAAGCGAAAACCACTGTGGAATTAACTCGAAACTGTATTGTGAATAATACGTATCCAAAATTATATCCTAAATCATTTCGTGGATACAAAATATGATCAAACACAAATTAACTTAAACGACTCTCACTTCATCAATACGAATCCCTTCAAACAAAAACTATGGGGCTGCAAAGAAATGTTGCACAAAGATTTCATCCCGTAGAGAAACTTTCTGAGAATCTAAGCATGTTAATTAATGAATGAAAACCAGAGGAAATAAGTAAATAGTTTCACTGACGAAAGGACTGAACAAACAAATTGTCCAAAGTAATTCCCCAAGTAACTATGATTGAGTCTAAAGAAAAAGCCATTGAAAACAATTGTCCTATCAAATTATTCTTCTTCTGGATAATCTGTAGGGATCTTCAAATGTCTACTTTGTAGGTTCTTGTACTTATGGGCACAGTCTTGATAGAATATTTCTCTGTGTTTTATTTAAATGTTTCAATTTTAAGTTAATGAGTTACGTTGCAAGGAATGTGAATCGAAAAATTATATTGTAATGCATAAATAAAATAATTCTAACAAACTTGAACATTGTAGCTATGCGTTTCGAGAAGTGTGTATCATTGAGGAGGATAAGAGGTTTTGTATCCTAAGCTGGTTTCGGTTGAATTGAGCTACAGAAAGCTGCAACAACCGAATTAATCAACAGCTTGTCTATACTAACTTGAATATAATTGATGACTAAAAATTATGTCGAAATGTTGATAAAGTGGTTGAATTATTCAACCAAATGTTTCAGTTTTCTATAGAATTTTTTGATAGATTATGGGCTGGAGTCACTGGAAGTGAAATGATTGGTTGTAGAGGGATGTTTGGTTTTTGTACTTCAGGTATCTCGTAGAAAGGTTGAATAACAGGCCGACTAGATTTCATTGACTATTCATCATTTGCTGCAGTTTGTCCCGATTTGACTAGTTCTTTTCAGATGTTGATGATGTGGCAGTCAAATTTCGAATACGGTTTGTCTCAGCTGGTTTGTATACAGTTTGATAAGTCTCCCCCTTTCTTGATGTAGAGTTTCCAAAAGGCTTCTGTGGTGCACTATTCCTCAGCTGGAATTATAACGATGTTTTGTATATTTCCCACATTCCATAGAGCTGGAAGTAATGTATTTACTAGTTGAGTACAGCGTTACCTCAGTTTAGTCAAAGGCAGAAAAAATTATTGTACTTACATCTCGATTAAACTGCTACAGAACATCAACTCATACGGATCAAATCCTAAACTACAATAGCAACAACACAACAACACATAAAATTGTTCAAAAGAGCAAAGAAAACACTGTAGTACATCAGTTCTATGAGGAAAGAAGATAACTATTTAATGACTGTTTTCTCGAAGAATCACTATTCACACAACTTCATCAGAAAGTGTTTACATAATACGTCATCAACCAAGAAGTCAGTCTTGAAAATCAACAAACGGTTTATCCTACACTACACGAAAAGTGTCTATGAGATCATGACTAGATTGTCGAAGCCCGTTGGAATCGCTGTATCTCATATGCTAACAAAATGTCTCCACTCTATGTTGTACAGTCCAAAAGATACCATAGTAAAGGAAGAAAAGTTAAACATTAGCTGCAAAGTAACTGTGGAAACTGCGAATGAATGCTATAACGGACAGAATGGTCGGCTTCTCTATATTCATCTACATGAATGTCAACTGGGAGTAACAAATCTTTGCTCTTATCAATTCTTGCAGACAAGTGTGGACATGAATTTAACTGGAAAATGTGAAAATCCTGGATAGAAGTATAAAGAATTCCAGGGAATTTTTAGAATGGCGACATTTAGGCTAGTCAGACATATTGACATTGACTGAATCTATAAACTATGAGGAAACAAAAAGGAGGTCGAATTTCAGGTCATCAGGACAACCATTTAAAATAAATATGGAAACAATGACAACACGTGAAAGAAACAACCAATCACACACGAGGTCATTAGGACAACCTGCTAAACAAATCGCTTAGAAAACCTTGCAGCTAACGTCTATCTGAAGTTTGCGCTGACGTTCTCTAGTAGGACAACTGAAGCCCTACAATTAATTCATATGGCCCAGATGACACAACACACTTGAGTAGGGGAATTATGGAAGTATTGATTTCCGGTGAAGACAGTTCCCAACAAGCACTTCTATGTTTACTATTCATATAATCTGTAGACCAAGTTGGTTTTTCCCCAATCGACTGATTATTTGTTTACAGAATTTGATAATGGAGCATACTATCAGGGAGAGGTTTCACGTTTTCTTTTCAAAGAGGTTATTCTCCTACCTATTTTGCTGTCAAATATACAACTTTCCGACAAATCATGCAGTCAATTGGAGATGATGCCTAGACTCCACACCAGTAGACTAAATAATGTCTGTGATATCAGTTGACTTACATTCAGGCGGAAAGACAGAATATTAGTCAGCAGCACAGGAAAAATGTCACCTTACTGAATGAAGTAAGTTAAACATTGATATTCGATAAAATATATACATGCATCATTGGCGTAAGAATTGATCTAGTGAAGTGGTGATGCGAAATCTCAGTTCGGATGGTTACACAGCTCTCAAGCCACGGTAGAATCGAAAGATTAAAATTTTATCAAATTTCCGTTCTAGTAGTAAATGATGAGTGAGGAAATGAGGGTCGTTGGATTGTAGTATGGTAAATGAATGGTGACATGCCAAATGCATCTAAGCTACAATAACACTTTTGCCAAGTATCCCCTCATTTCAAGTGATTTACTAGGTAATCGCAGTCAGTGAGAAAAATCACCTCAAAATCTAGTGAGAACACTCATATCCGCATATTTAGATTAGACGGAAGGACAGTCACTAATAGTGAATAGTGTCAAAAAGTATAAATGAAGCTTTCAATGAGCTTGGATGATAAACTCATTTATTACACAGCATACATTGTCTTAACTCGTAAATTAATGAAAACCACTTCATAGATTTCATTGACCGAAATCAAACATCAGACTTCATATTTCAACAGCCACTAACATCTGTCAACATGAAAGCCAATCACATTTGACCGACTATTGTCCAATCAAATTCCAATTGACAGAGAAGGATAACGGAGAATTCGATTGGCCGCCGTCACTACAATCAAAGAATGTCAGAATCTCACCATCCACTAAGGACAATATTAAAATTCATGATAGCAGTCAGAGTGGACGGAATATTGTCACAAATTCTCCACAGATTATCTCGTAAAAAATTCATTCCTATGTAACTGACTTCCAGATAACCCACCGGAATATTATGCCTCCCGATACACCACACAAGAGTCGATTCTACACTTGTAGCAATGTCAACGAAGAGGAGTATATCTCATTTCTACAGTCAACCATTTCGGCTGTCGTCTTGACTTTGATATGTCTACTCGGTGTAATTGGAAACAGTCTAGTTATCATTGTCTATTGCGTCAAGCCTAGACGTCAGACAGGTCGTCTATTTGCAAACCGTCAGACCATAAATAATAGTCCCAATCAGAAGACAAGCAACAGCACTCAGGATAGTTTCACTTCAGATAAGTCGACCTCACCCTTTCAAGTATTCAAGGCACCAGCAACATCTAATTCCACGCTCCCATCACACTTACACACATCAATACGTCGACGAAATGCATTCAGTCAACAGAATCTGATTCTGCTTCTCGCACTCGTCGACCTGTTGACATGTGTCCTCATTCTCCCATGCGATATATATCGAGTGGTCAATTATACTCATGCAAACAGGCATACTACCCCCTCACCTATGCATGACATATATGGCACACTGCCAATGCGACGCAACTTCTCACAACTTCACATGGATAACACATCTGGAAGTGGATTCTATTTTAAATATGAGCTGGACGCCATACTCACACTGTTACGGAATATAGTATTTGCTTGTGAAGGCAGTCTGTTGGCTGCCATAGCATTTGAACGATACATGATTCTGGTCGAGAGGGATATTTGTAAGTGTGCATGTTGTCTGCTCTGTGTAGCCTACAAGAACAAGGATAAAAATAATCCGAACAGAGTCAACGGTACTCTTCCAAATTTGTTCAGTCTCAGTAAAACTTCTCAATCCCCTTCAAATGACTCGTCGGGAATTGTGAATGATTCTGCCCACACAACTCGTTCCTCACCTACTGGTTGTGTCAACGACGTTCGAGAAACACCTCCGATGACCCCACTGAACAGCGCAAAATCAAGCAACACAAAATACAAAGTAGGCGTGCTGTGTAAACCGAGCACGTGCATCATGTCAATACTGGTCAGTGTGACTATGGGAACTTGCTTGTTAGAGTGTATTCTGATTGTTTTACACTTCTCAAAATGGGACTGTCAGTTGACCGACCTGCTACGTGAACTTGTTAACCAGATTTACATTCTGTGCACATTCTTATCCTTCTTCATCATCACTTATTTATACATGAGAATATTTATGACGGTCAGAGAGAATGATTTACGTCGACAAAAGTGGTCAGCGCCTAGAAGTGCTCTCCACACGTCATTGAGAATTATCAATGAGTCGAATGCCGTGTCACAGCCATCAGAAAACGATAGTGAAATGGAGACGGTGGTGAGGTTGGCTGATGAGAGTGCATCTAATGTGGCTATGACTAATGGTGATTCCAGTATTTTCTCACATCATCCCTACAACAGTCAACTGGTACCGTCGTCGAGGTCGAGACCACCCATCAGATTTGTGAAGCAGTTGAGTTGTGATCAAGTGACCTCAGATCATTGCTGTTATCAGCTTGACCCACGAATCGGTCAGGTTGTTGCGTTCCGAAGACGAGGGATACTGAAACTACCCTCGATGTCAGCACTGTTTGAGCAAGGAGGACAACAACAACAGGACAAGTTGTCGGCGGCTTCGATGAGGTTTCTTTTGAGGCGAGAATGTCAACTGTCGGAGAAAGATGTGCGGAAAGTATTCACGAACTGCTACACAGCACCGCCGTCACCACGGTTACTGCCTCTCGGTCGACTGATACCGAGACGTGTTGTGCGTAGTCATCGCACAGGTTTGATGATATTCATTTCCACTGTTGTCTTCTATGCCACACTGTTTCCAGTTCTGTGGGTTCACTTCAAATTCTGGTGGAGATCGTCCACTGACTATCCTGTGAACGATGCGACTACTCTTGCTGTCAGTAGTGGTCGATTGAATACTACTGGTAGTGATAGTGGTGATGTCAGTGGCAATTCGACTGTCACACACACAAATAATCATGGGAGTAGTTTCATGACAGTTGTACATCACGAGTTCTATTATGTGAACAATGCTGTGAATTTTTTCATTTATTCCTTATTCAACCAAAGTTTTCGTGCGCGTCTTCGACTTTTACTGGCCAAACATTGAAGTATAGGGAGCAGACGGAGCTATTGTATTCTTTTGTTATTGACGGATGGACAATGAATGTATTCATGTGTAGTATTTGAATTGTCAAATCTCGGTTAGTTATCGTATTTTTTGTAAGATGTTTGAATGCTGATACTTTGTGATTTCAACTCTTATTTTTGGTACTCTTCGACTTGTTTTGCACTGTACACTGAGTGAATTGCAGGGCAGAAATCGTTTTGAAATAAGGCTTAGATAATTGTGGTCACTTCTTTGTGAACATGTGTAAGTGGCAGTTTGTGTATTCACGTTACTATCGCCTTTGTATCACTATGGACTAAAGTCATCCTCAATAATTTTCTGTGTCAAACTGAGTTTTGTTTTTACATGGGTTGATATTTCCGCTGTCGATGTATTTACCAATTGAAAAACATAGTTTTATATACTTTCAGAAATATTGGTGATGATTGCCACTGTTTATGTTATTTACAGCGTGTATTTTAAACATAACAATAGCCTCTACCTTTCATCTTTTCAATCTTGATCAGAAATCCTCATCACGTTATGGTGTTTCTACGTCTTCTGTTTTATGCATACTTTTGGCCTGGTTTCGACCCATCGTATTCACTGATTCTTATCACTCAATACTTTGCACATCACAGCAAAATAGATCGGGGAATCGAAAGGGAATAAAATGATTTGCAAGTGGTGAAAGCAAACAAAAAGGAGAACCGGAGACAGAGACTGAAAACTTATAAAGAGTTCAACATTGAGATGATGCTCTTGGATTTTAGGAGTGTTACTGATAATTTCTAGAGATTGGTTGCTATGTTATGAAGTACAATAATGATATGGCTCATGCATTGCTAGATTGCTAGAGCCAACGGTCAGAGAATTTATGGATTGGTGCCAGGCAAAGTGACTGTTAGTCTTCTTGTAACCCAGTCAAACTTCGAATAAGACTGGATTTTAAAAGGTAGTTACTGCATCGTCGTGCATAACATAAATTTCATCCAATAATGATCAACAAACTCTCCATCTGACTTCTTTTGCTTGGCTTAAGTTATCTGTCTTCCCTTTACATCACCCATTCTATGGTTCCACAAAGTGTGAGCAACACTTCGAATAAACCTGTTACCGAAGCTGTCTGTCCTTCTATTATAGTACAGCTTAAATGATCATGTCTCACAGCCTTCAACAGGAGAAAATGGACTGGTAAAAATTACACTGGTTCTATACCACATAGATAAGTACCTTGTTGGTTTCTGAAAGCATGCAGTGTATTCTGCGTCTTTTCTTAAAATGAAGTATGTTTCTGGTTAGACTAGTCTCTCATAATGTTTCCAATATATTCAGCCAACGTATGTGCAAAGATATTTGAATCGGTGCACCTCATAGCTTTTACACTTCCCACAGATTCATAATGCGAGATTTTGCCTAGCTATATCAAGGATGAGATAATTTGTCTGGTCATACCTAAATTCACATCTAGTATAGTGTTGGCATACTCTGTTGCATCGCCAATATACTGTTGATGGCTCACTACTTCGGACAATTTCATATCTTGGTGTGAGGTATGTGGTTTACCTGAAAGGGCTGCACACCAGAGCTTCGCCACACCATCGAGCTAATACATGGGTTTCACGTCTGCATAGTTATTATGTAATATTTCTGTTGCAGAAAGAAAGATTCAATATCTTACATTTTATAAAACACCAGCTTGTATGGGGCTAGCATACTCATCATACACATGACCGAAATGAAATTTTGGAGCACAAATAATTTTGAAAGCTCAGAATATCGAGTGTGTCAGTCCCACTAACGTAATAGTCAGAATTATGACGTCAGATAGAGGAAAATGTGGGCAATAATCAATGTGTTTTTCGTCCAATTTCATGTACAGAAAATGTTTCAGTTTCCAAATGAACATCCTGTCTCCCTTAACTGATTGCATTTTGATTTCAAAGGGATTGATGTGCAAACGACGAGATAACTGAAACATTTGTCTCGGAAACCTCTCCTCGTTTTTCGAAGAGCTTGGAGAAATGGTATTTTCCAGTTAGAAATTGTGTGATCACTAAAATTTTGTGAACGCAGATCAGTTAAATTTTTGGTGTTATATGACATTAGTTATTCAAGAGAATGATAAATGTTGGCGCAATGTCTGCAGTCCCACTTCGTTAGGGGATTTTAGGGTGGAATATTTAGTTTCAGTATGACCCGACAGTTATGCACCCAGCCTCATGAAGTTATCAGTTTGAGTATGGATTTCCATCCATTTATATGTCAATTGGTTGGAAGTCATTGTAACCACATACCTCCTGTGTTTTGAAGAACGATGTTTGAGATGGCAAGTCAGTTGTTTTCCCAGGTATTCTCTTGTGTGACTGCACATGACACTTGTAAATGTTCTTTGTAAACATGCAAGTTGTGCCGCAACTCATCATTACGGCCCTTATTCCTAATTGAGATCTGTCAGTCATGTTCGCAGTGTGGCCAATAAACCGAAGTAAAATTATATGGTCGATCCATGATACAGACTAATCAGAGACAGAATGTCGCGTTATGTAGGTGGAGATTTTTCCTGGTGGTGTTTCATTGAATTGAGCATCTGGAACGTCAGAAGCCAGCATGGTCTTTCCTAAGTAAACATTGTCGGTAGTAACTATTATTCACTCGGTAAGGAAATATTTCGTGGATTCTCGACTGGGAAAACACAAGATAGTGACGAGTGTCTACTTCTTATACGTAGTAATTATGAATTCACATGGAATTCAGTTGACAAATGGAGGGTATTTGAAAAGGATTTGAAACAACTTGTCGATTTTGAATGTCAGCCAGTTTAAGTGGCTCATCTAGGATGAACTGACCTGTTCATTAAAATGGATTAAAATCTGAATGTTTGGTGTTTGAGGAAACCGAGGGTGTGTTCGTTCAAAAGGTTGGCGACATTTGTTGCTCAGGTGGATTTTTTTAGTTGCTTTGCGTTCCCCGAACTGGGTTAATCAATCGTAGATATTTAGCAACAGTCGCATTAACTTCTGTATGAAGTGAACTGCCAATATCTCACCGTGAGTGATTTATTAGCTTGCCTCGATTAACTGCCTCGTCACTGGTTATTTTCTTCTGAATGTTTTGTCAGTGGCCGTATGCATTTTCCTGTTGGCTGTTCCTCTGCTTGACCTCTAAACTTTCTGCCATTTAGCACCTTTCTTATTGGTTAGTAGATTGGTTCCATGTCTATACATCTGTTGATTGCTGACTGATCTGAATGCCAAGCTTTCAGGAATTCTCTGATATGTTTTGTGTTTCCTCTCTTCAAAATTTCTACATTGTCGAAATTGAATTTATGTCCATAATTATCCACGTATGTTGAATCGGGTGATGATGATGATAATAATGATATTGAGAAAACTGGACGGACACTCCATCTTATCCTCAACAAATCAACATAGAATACGACGAATGAATGGTATCTTTCGATGTCACTACACTATGTATATCTATTGAACCACAATTGGCCAAGGAAACTATATCCCTCCTCCCTAATGATGTTACAAGTTTTTCAGAAGGCACAAAACTTAAATATTAAAGTCTGATGGAACTCATCGATCTTTGCCTCACAATATTATCCTAATTGAATGGCAAGATATACAGACAGATGAAAGGTCACCAATATTCGGATTAATTGCAGAAGCAGTAATGCAGAGACTAGTAGCCATCATCCTACCTGTGATCAAACCAAAATTCTAGATTCGTTATGTGGACGACACTTTTGTCATCATTAAAAAGATGGTATGGAAAACACCCACAATCTGATCAACAACGTTTCCAGTGACATCAAATTCACAATGGAGAATGAGTTAAACAACTAACTACCATACTTGGGTGTTTAGTCAGCAGGAAAAATGCCAGAAAGCTGGAAACCAAGTGTATAGGAAGCCAACACACACTGATCAAGTCCTCAACTACAGTTGCAACAACCCAACAACACACAAGACCAGTCGCTTGCAGACTCTATTCAGAAGAATGAAAACACACTGCAGTACAACAACTTCACGGAGAAACGAAGAAAATTACTTGATGTCCACACTAAAGAAGAACGCCTACCCACGAAACTCTATCACAACATGCCTATCCCGTACTTCATCAACAGAAATCAATAAACGCATCATTCTACCATACATGAGGAATATATCAGAAATCATGACAAGATCACTGAAACCACTTCGTTTTGTTGGTGTGGTTCATAAACCAACAAATTCCCTCCGAACACTATTATGCAGACCGATGGGTGCGACATCCAAAGAAGACAAACCGAATATCATCTACAAAATCATCTGCACTGACTGCAGTCAACACTACATTAGACAAAGTGGTCGCACTCCTCGCCTTCGTCTACATGAACGCCGTTTGGTTAATAAACGTCACGACATTTCATCACCCATTTCAATGCATGTGGATAATTATGGACATGAATTCAATTTCGACAATGTAGAAATTTCGGAGAGAGGAAACACAAAACATATCAGGGAATTCCTGGAAGCTTGGCATTCAGATCAGTCAGCAATCAACAGATGTATAGACATGGAACCAATCTACTAACCAATAAGAAAGGTGCTAAATGGCAGAAAGTTTAGAGGTCAAGCAGAGGGACAGCCAACAGGAAAATGCATACGGCCACTGACAAAACATTCAGAAGAAAATAACCAGTGACGAGGCAGTTAATCGAGGCAAGCTAATAAATCACTCACGGAGAGATAATGACAGTTCACTTCATACAGAAGTTAATTCGAATGTTGCTAACTATCTACGATTGATTAACCCAGCTCAGGGAACTCAAAACAACCAAGACTATTCAGTGTGATATTTGATAACCATATAAATACCAAGCCACTTCTTTGTTGACCAGTTCCAATGGATATTGTTGATCTTTAACGTGACAGTTGTCATTTAATGTGAAATTGTCAAATTTTCCTTGTTTCAAGATTATATGACCAAGTTTTGGAGCAACTTAAACACGCACAGCCTTATAAATTATATGAGGTCATTTTGAGACTTCAGTTTATGCAAGTCTAAATTCATGAAAGAGACAGAGCAAGAAATCCTAGAGAACATAAGACAAAACATCAGGCATACAAAGATATCTATTTTACCACTAATTTGAACTCCATAGTCCTACCTCCTTCATATTAAACCATTTGAGAATAAAAATCATGAATGGAAATTGCAATAAATGTATTATTTTGTCTAAGACAACCACCAATGTTTTGGCGTAGTATTATCACGTTTAATTGTTCATTATATTACAACATAACTTTAATTTATAATATGTTTATTAAGATGTTCATCATCTCTCTATATGGAATGTTATTCTGTTCATACTATCCTCTGTACTCAAAATAAGATTATGTGACCATTACCACTTCAAGTTTAAATCACGCTCGTACTTTAACAGTTTCGATACTAGTATGACATTATAAATAATCAGGAAAAACTACGAATTCCATGAATTTAAGAATCGTTTACAACATTTAAGTTAATAGAATGATCAAACAAGAAGCTAAATTTAGTATTGGTATTTAGAGTATCTTTTTTCCAAAAAAGTACTGATCTTATCAAATGGCTTAAACTATTCACTGAAATGGTTCTGTAGAGTGTTTTGTGAGTTTGCAACATTCTTCACAAAATAACGCCTGTAGGCTTTAAAAAACTGAGCTATTTTTCCGATAAATAGAACGTCATCCTATCACTTTTGTGATTCGACTGGAAGGTTTGTGAGGATTAATTTATTGATTTTAGATTAGTAATCTGACTGCTTCCCAGCAATTTATCTTACATTGACGGTATTTGCATTTTTCTGCTGATTTCTGCGGCTTAGATGAATCATTTACACTTTCAATTAAAAACAGACCCACTTATGCAGACGTAGTCTGTTATTTTAGCAAACCAATAGCTACCGGAAAAACTCTGAATTTCTGTTTCTTCCTGTCACTTCAACAGTTTGCATAAATTACCAGTCCAAAAAGTTATTGCCCACCGCAAATATTTTAATCTGATTTGTAGCAGGAAGTATAGAAATCATCGCGCGTAGTAGAAAATACATACAAATTGAAAAATATAGAGGTGTGATGACGGAA